CCCCAAAACCCCAAAACCCCAAAACCCCAAAACCCCAAAACCCCAAAACCCCATTACGCAACTAATTTGCTGAATTATTTAATAATTATCCTCATGAAAGAGATCATCCATCTCCAGGTTGGTTCCTCTGGGAATAATGTAGGAACCGACTTCTGGCAAACTATCTGTGAAGAGCATTCTATTAGCCCTGAAGGACAATATGTAGGCACCTCAGATCTAGACCTAGAGTGTCTCGATGTGTACTTTAATGAAGTATGAGCTGGAAATTATCAACTCAGAGCTGTTCTAGTAGACCTTGACCCACGTACTATTGATAATATCAGAGCAAGTCCTCATGGAGTGTTGTTTTAATAATGACAATTATATCATTGGGAATAAATACGATTGAGGATATACTAGATTTTCAAACAACTTTGCTCATGGGTTTTACACTCAAGGAAACCTAATAGATGAACAAGTTCTTGAAGCAATCAGAAAAGAAGCCGAAAAATCAGAAACTTTGCAAGGTTTCCAACTCACCCATTCAACAGGAGGAGGAACCGGTTCAGGAGTTGCGATAAATATCTTACAAGAGCTAGATGTAGACTATAATAAATGAATTAAACAGTCTTTTTCATTGTTACCTGATATTTCTGAAGGAAATTTAGACCCTCTTCATGCATATAATGCTATTTTCTCTCTTTCTTTCATGGCAGATCTACTTGATATGACAATGCTGATACAGAACCGCCAACTATATAACATTTGATTTCAGAATTTAAGGATGGCATCTCCTTCGTATTCTGACATGAATAGCTTAATATCATCATGCATGTCTGGAATCTCTTCTGGGTCAAGATATCCGGGAGAATTGAACGCTAGTCTGCGGAAAATATGAACTAATTTAGTCTGATTCCCACGATTACATTTCTTTACCCTCTCTGGATCTCCTTTTCAAGCTCAAAAGTCTGATCTTAATAAGAAATGTTCACCACGACTGAATCAGCTTGGAGATCCAAGAAATTTCTTACTGAATTGAAATCCCAATATTGGAAAACTCTTCACTGCATTTGCTTTTTTCAGAGGAAGTTGGGGTCAGGATTCTATTAATTATCAAATACAAGACATATCTAATCGATCGCCTGGAACAGTGGCTGAGTGGCTTCCAAATTGGATCTCATACTCTTGCTGATCAACTCCTGGCATAAGCCAGGAGCCATCTGCAACTTTCCTGGGAAATTATAGTGGACTCTCTGAAATTGTCAGAGCTCATTGAGCCCAATTCATGAAGTACTTCAAAAAGAAAGCTTTCATTAGAAAGTATATTGAAGACGGCCTTTGAGAATTCAACTTCATTGAAGCAGAGAGTAATTGATGTGACCTCATTTCAGAGTACGAATCATACGCCATGGCTGATGTAGAAGACGAAGATGAATTTGACTCTGACTTTGAATTTTAATGTAAAAACTTCACTAATTAATCAAAAACATTTTTATCCAACCAAGCTGGCTTCTTTCGTCCCAAAAGTGTATTAAAAATCCCCAAAAATTCAACCTAAAATCTTCCAGAAGGGGTTTTGGGGTTTTGGGGTTTTGGGGTTTTGGGG